TTCAACATTAAAACAACCTTTTTCGATGGAGTTTCGAGGTGCATCTGTAATTCTACATTTTAAGGTTACAACCTTATATAAATTTTTTCCTTTAATGTACTTTTATTAAAATAATTAAAATTCATAAAAAATATATCCGTAATGAGAGCTTAACAGGATGTGGGCTTTTCAAGCCATGGGTTTCTCCATGTCTTTTTGCCCCTTAGTCACACGAACATTACTGAATAGTTAGGTTTACCGTCTCTACCTAAGGAAGGTAAGTAATTTGGGAAACTTTTGGAGGAGCCTTACTTTGGGAACCCTTGAGGGATTGCTTCAGATCATCACAATCTTTGGTTTTGATACTGCAATACCAAGGAAGTAGAAGGGGTTAACAAGGTGGATGTTATTGTAAACCTTCACAATCTTGTCAATCAATCTTCTTTAAGGATTAGATTGAAAGGAAGGTGGATTCCCCCATTGCAATGTTGCATGTTTAGGGTTCTCGAGAACCCCTTAGCTTGCGGAATTAAGAATCTCAAATATCGAGATTCCACCCAAGATCGTGTACATGATTGACTAAATGCAAAGTAGATGAATACAACTATAAATCGAATGCTAGAAATAAAGCAAACATAAAAAGTAGATCACAACAACATACGATTTACGTAGCTCACCCTGTAGGACTACATCCACGGCTTCGACAACTAGAAATCCACTATCACAACGAAGATTACAGTTTTGGGTTACAAGAGATAATACCTATCTCTAAACATCGGTAAAAGACCATCACCGATCTTCCCTTAAACTCGCTCTCCCGATTGAAAAACACCGCCAATCAACATCCTCTTTCCCACCGCAATACCGCTACTGGAAAGATAACCTCAATAGCAACATAGAGATTTTCTCTCTAGAAGTGGAAGTTAACCAATCCAAAACTCATAAAAATACCGCCCCTCTCTCAGAGACCATATATCTCTCTCTTGGAGACTCATCTCCATATTAGAGATCCATTCCCATAACTCCCAAAGGGGTGACCCTCAAAGGATATGAATTATGTCCTCCTTCACTCTCTTATAAAGATATCACTTTCTTGCTTCCTAAGAAAGTCAAGTGTATATTTCTCATAATACCCTAATCTTTAGAAGAAAATATGGGTTTGGTGATTTAGCTATCACCAAACTCAACAATCTCCACCTTAATAGCAAAATCACTACAAATGCCTGAGCAACCTTCATTGAATAGATTTCTTGATTTCTACATACTTGCCTCTATTGTGGAATTTCCACAAACAATTTGTTTTCTTATTTTTCCACCTCAAACCATGGATATTCTTGATTTATTCTCGCTTACCTCCATTGTGGAATTCTTATAAACATTTTGCCTTCATATTTCTCCACCTCAAACCATGTATCCATAAAACTTCATCATTTCTCTTTTTCTTAATATAAACCTTAGCCCCGTACACGCCTTGTGCTCTGATACCAATTGTAGGATTCTCGAGAACCCCTTAGCTTGTGGAATCGAGAATCTTAAACACTGAAATCCCTCCCAAGATCGTATATATGATTGACTAAATGCAAAGTAAATGAATACAACTATAAATCGAGTGTGAGAAATAAAGTAAACATAAAAAACACACCACAACAACACACGATTTACGTGGTTCACCCCGTAGGGATACATCCACGGCCTCGACAACTAGAAATCCACTATCACAATGAAGATTACAGTTTGGGTTACAAGAGATAATACCTATTTCTAAACATTGGTAAAAGACCATCACCGATCTTCCCTTTTAAACCCGCTCTCCCGACCAAGCAATACCGTCGATTAATATCATCTTTCCCACCGTAATATTGCTCTTACCATCACCGATCTTCCCTTCTAAATCCGCTCTCCCGACCAAGCAATACCGTCGATCAACATCATCTTTCCCACCGTAATACTGCTCCCTCATATCTCTCTTTCGTGGAGACTCATATCTATATTGGAGATCCATTCCCATAACCCCCAAAGGGATGAACCCTCAAATGATAGGTATTATGTCATCATTCACTCTTTTATAAAGATATCACTTTCTTGCTTCCCAATAAAGTCAGTTTGCTATTTCCCATAGTACCCTAATCTTTAGAAGAAAATATAAGTATGGTGATTTAGCTATAACCAAACCCAACGACATCAAACATAACCTTGACGGACGTTTTTATGGGAATCTGGGACTTGTAGGGATAGGTAGCATTGTTCTCTGAGGGTGCCATGGTGTTTGGTTTCTCTGGTCCATATGGTGTGGTTACGACAAAGTACGCATAAATGCTAGCGGTTCTACAGGGCCTTAAGCTTTCGCAAGAGAGATGTTTTGACTACTGTTTGGTTGTTGAAGGTCTATCTTAATGTTATAAAATGGTGCAATAATGTCGGCAAGCATGATGCATAGGGGGAATTTGGATGCAGATAAGGAGGTGGCTTTTAAGCATGTATATGGGGAGGCCAATAATGTGGCAAAAGGTTTGGCTAAATTTGGGGTGGATTCTTCACAATTAACAGTGTTTAATTATCTGCCTTTGTATTTGTTTGTATCGCTTCGTTTGATTGACAAAATTTTGTGCTCTGGTCCAAAAAAAAATTTAAAGCGAGGTTTTTAAGAAATTTTAGTGATTTCTGAAATTTTTTGAGGATGGAGCCGCTTCACGCCGATCCGCATCACCCATCCATTTTTTTTAACTTTGATCTGTATACAAATCTAGGCGTTAGTTGGCATGTACCCAATTGGAATATATTTTTGGATGTTATGACTAGTTTAAAAAATGGTTGCACCGCATGTACCAATTGGAATATTTTTTTAAAAAGTTTATATAGAGCCGAGGTTCTAACCAATCAAATTACAGCCATGTCAAAAATTTCACTTGAAGAGGTTGTTTTGATATATAAATAACCTCAAATTGATCATCTCAACATCAAGATTGCATGGACATAAGAAAAACATGGATTTCAAGTTTTGAAAATAGTGCTTCTTGTAACGCATATTTGGACCATCAATTTCAAGATTTTCAAGTTTTTCATAGATCTGCTCGATCTATACTATTTTTTAAGCTTTAAATTTTATAATTAAAGATGAGAATATATTTTGAGGTTATCACAAATATTTTCAATATTGAAACCACACTTCTCGACACTAATTGAAGGTTTGGTTTACTTTGATTCTATTGGCTGTACACAAACCGCACCCTTTATTATTTGTATTCTAGCATGTTTTTTAATTCTTCTTGTTTTAGAGATAAGATCAAACAGTACTTTATTTCTTAAAAGGAAAAAGTTTATATAATGTCATCACCTTAAGATGTAGAATTAAGGTGCACCTCAAAAATTTCTCGAAAAAGGCTATTTTGATGTTGAAAAACATCTAATTGATCATCTCGATATCAGATTTATGGATATGGAGAAAAGAAAGATTAGTCCCAAAATTAGTACATCTTACAATACATTATCTAGACAATCCATTTTCAAGATTTTCACGTGTTTATAGGTCTACTTGTTTTGAACTATTTTTTTAATTTAAAATTTTAAAATTAGCAATGAAAATAAATTCTCACACCATTCTAAGAATTTTCAACATGAAAATTACATCTTATGACAAAGTTTGGAGGTACGTTTTATTTTGATAGTTAAGTTGCAACCTTATGCAAACTACACCCTATTTTAAAAGGTCTTCACTCGTATTCCTGGGGGTGACATTTGTCTAATGCTATACAACTTTGGAGATTAAATTTCCAGTATTAAAAACTTTCCATTGGCTTATATTCCATACATCTCGAAGTTGAGATGATCAATTGGAAGATTTCCAGCTTTAAAACACTCTTTCTACTGGGTTTTTAAAGTGCACCGTACTTCTATGGTATAGGGTTCCAACATTATTAAACTTTTGCCTTTCTATTTCTTTTTTGGCTCCTCAAAAATTTGGAGAGAGACTCAACAAGTTTACACTAAAGCCCTTCTCTTTTAAGGTCAGGTGTGCTATGTTTTTTCTAGTCATAAAGTTTCTTTTTATTCTTACAATACGTGTCCACTTCTTAATTGCTGCTCAATTATAAAAAATAGTATAGATACATAAACCTGTAATTATAAAAAAAATATGTGAAATAAGTTATTGTATACAAAGGAAGAATATATTAGGTGTGAATAAGGGTAATATTTTTAAGGGCAACCTTTCTATGCTGTCCCTACAACCTCCCCCTTATCCAACCGTCCATTCTGAATGGAAGGCTAAGATTGCCCCAATCACGTTACTTCTCTACACTATTTTATTTTAAATTTTTTTCTATAAACTATTTTGACACCAAATTTTGAACGTCTACTCCTTCTATTAAACTCGCACTAGCAAAAAATATTAAAAAAATATTTTCAATAAAATAAAATGATCAAAATACCCTTAAAAGTTTCAAGGGGTATTTTGGTTATTATATTTTATCGAAAAATTATTTTTAATATTTTTTATAAGTGTGCTCTAATAAGAAGATAGCACGTACCAAATTTCATATTCATACAATTTGTATAAAAAAAAACTAAAAATAAAATACTTTGAGATGTTAGATTTAATATCAAATGGTGAGTGGCTCTCTTGATCAAAATTAGAAGGCTGGATGGTAAAAAAAATATAGAACTTTCATGTTGTAGGGGAAGCATAAAAACCTTTCCCTATTTCTAATCTACATATTTTTTTTTAAAGAACTCCAAAAGAAAAAAATTTCTCTTAGTGCAAGTCGACAAAATATTAGTCTAATTTTATAAATTAATTTTTATACCTCAAAAATAGTTTACAATTAATATTTAATTATAAATTTTTAACATTTCAAGAATTTATATCTATTCTGTTTTCCTTTTGCAATTCCAAGAAAACCTAACATCATAGAGGTGTATTCAAATTGTATTGTTGCTTTTCGTTTCCATTTCTGATTTCTTTGTTCTCATATGTCCTCTTATATTTTTAGGTGCAACCCATATGAATCTACCAGTATAATATAGATTTGAAATTTTGAAGAAGTTTTTTACGCGGACGAAGTTGTTATGAATGGCTCATCTCCACCATCCACTGTTGAACGTGGGTGGAGTCATGTATCTTGACATGATACATGCATGATAGACTACACCTTTCTTCATCTCTCTACAACACAAATTGTGTATGCAATTCAGACCACTCGATCTCTCAGCGCTGCCCATAGGAATGGGCTCAAGTTTAGGTGGTCCGACTGACAAGCCAACACAACGTGACGTCTTGAATTTCATTTGTCACTGGTAAAGGACCCTTCCAACTGAACTACCTAAACAAACAAACAAAAAAACAAACCTCAGCAGCCCATTGGAAGTCAACCATAACAATAAAACACCAATAGGAATGATCAAACAAAGCAAACTGTTAACATATGAAAATGGAGTATGAACTTTGCGTCAAATCAACAACGCCCACCACAAAAAGATACACAATTGATAATAGTCTACAAGTAAGAAATCTCCAAATCAAAAAGCAATAAAATGCTTTGGGTTGAAATAGTTCCACTTGCTACTTTGGATGACATCTCATCATCAGTAAAATTGGCTCTCTTAACTCAATTCACAATTTAATAGAATATATGAGCTTGCACCAGCACCTTCTTCTTGGTCAGGAATGCGAATCGTCAAGCAGAAACTTCTGGAGTCAACAATGTAGCTGGAAGTACAGAAAGCAACCATGACAAATAAAGCTTTTTTTATACTGAATAGTACAGTGAAGGATGGTATGGATGCTACTTGGCTGTATTCCTCATAAAATCTCTGATATCTGCAATAATACCAAACTTTTTCAAGCTAAATTATTTGCAAATAGGACCATTAACAATATGACATTCAAAATCTGAATGATGCATAGTTACTAAGTACATAATCTACAGAACTTGATGGAGATGAAACAATCAGCCATTGAAACTCACATGTATAGGCATCTCTTCGGTGACAATGCCACAACTTTCTTCTATGCTTTTGAGGGTGATTACCTCACCTCCAACAACCATGTTGATCACGATCCCATCTGCACATATTTACGGTCATCAGCATATGCATTTCATTCCCAAAGAATTGGTAACAGGCAGGAAGAAAAACCTGCTGACAAACAACTTGATATGCGCCTTAAATATGCTTCCTGTAAGTGAAGAAAACAATTCATGAATCAGTCAAAATGTCTGTCCACAAAATATCCAACTTTAACAATCATGTTCACATCAAAATATCCCATTGTAGCAGAAAGACTATTTAATCGATAATAAGGAAACTGGCATCCAAATTCATAAAGGGTTACAAAGGGTAGAGCAAGCACAAAGCTTCATTTCTGGTCAAAAGAGAGATTTATGTCAATTATGCTTTTTGGAATTAAGCGACTTATAACCATAAACAAGTCCACAAACACTAAAACCGATGAGGAAAATTTCCAACCTCAATATGGATTAGTTAACCATTTTGAAAATTCAACTAACCATGACTTCATACTTCTGGAAAAGCTTGCGATTCCAAATCTTTTCGGGAATCGGAATCACAGTATCACGGGTGCCCAGATGATTTCGATAGTTGGAATCGTCATCTGTACAATGCATATCAAATGAGAAAAAATTCATACCATTTAGAATTGTGTTCCAATCCAATATGAACTGAGATTCCTATTTGTTAGAAGGAAAATTGTTTCATGGGGGCTGGACCGTATTTCTACAATATGCGGTCCAGAGGTATAAAGCATCCATCTTTAAGATGGATGCAAATAGGTAGTCCATCTAAAAAAGTGCAATTAACGGTTCCAATGTTTTCTTGATATAATTATTATTTCTAGTTTTAAACTTTTCAGTTTTTTTCCTATCAATGATCTCCATGTTAAAGATTATATATTACCTAAAAATTAGGATCAAATTATATTTAAAAAATATAGTTATTGCCAAGCCCGCATTCCTACAATATGCGGGCTGGCCGCATAGAAACCGTGCCCTTGTTAGAATCACGGTCCCAACAACTTGGAATTGAGATTCCAAACTTACAGGAATCATACACACCAAACCACTTGGAACCATGCCAAAAGTTATCAAGAAACGAGTTCCGAAAGGCAAAAAATTTAAGGTGTTAGATTATCATTAAGTAAGAAAACCTTAGTATTGGACTCCATACATTGAGTACGCCTACACATGTCTCTCCAATTATTGGAATCAATGCCTTCGACAGCCCTCCCTTAACATTGGAATCGATCATAAGTTGTCCACAAGTATTGGAAACAAGGTCAAGCACCCTTAATTAAATACTTTCCTAGAGCTTTTACATTGAATCATGAAAATAAAATTACTTTTCTTTATTAATTATATATTTTCCAAAAAGACATATTAGGAATGATGAATTTTAAAAAACAAATTATTAGTCTGTTTACACCCATAGAGTTTTTAGATACCCATCATATATTAATTATTCATGAATTTTAAAAAACAAAATTTTTCCAATGACGTTTTAAAAAAATGCAAAGATTCAAGGTGCAAATAGACACGAATGGCTAGCAGTAGCGTCTCTCCTACCCTCATCTCCCTCCCCGCCTCATCTGGTTCTAACCTCGCTAAGCTGTACAAATCCTCCCTGGTTGGTGTCTTCCATCCCCAGTGTAATGACCACAAAGGCATAGAAAGATGGGCCAAGGATAGCTGGAAGGAACCACAGCTCAAGTGTAGGCTCTTTCCGATAGGTCCTACCTGTTTCCATTTCCCTCCATCGCAGTAGCTGTGTCCATCCTTCAACGTCCATCCTTGGGCTCCTTCAAGGGAGCTTCCCTAAACCTCTCCAAATGGCCCGAAGATTTGGGAGCCTTCCACCAGCAAAAAACTTGGATTACGGCTTCTGGTATTCCCCTTCATTCCTCGTGCCAGGATACCTTCAAAGCCATCGGCAATGCCTACGGCTCCTTCGTAGCAGTTCACTGGAAGTCAATGGAGAACCTTTTGCTAGAAGTGGCCGAAGTTCAAACCCCCAATACATCCCACCTTTCCTCTGGCTAGAAGTGGCTGGAAACTTCTTCCGGATTTTCATTTCTTGGTCGACGGCATCTCCTGGCTAGCCCCGCCTCGCCTCGTCTCTCTGATGGGGCTCTCACAGAGTGCCTTTTCTCACGAAGAGTCTTTCGTTCATCCACCCGATACTTCAGACCACTAGACCCTCATCTCTAGAAGATGTAAAACTAGCAGCAACGACAAACCTCAACCCTTTAGACACCCACGGAAAGGACTCCTCTCAACCTATCTTACTTCCTCAATCTCCTCATCCACCTCAACCACCCTCCCTACGCCCGCCCACGCCTCCTCCCCCACCTTTAAGCCCACCTCTGCCACCACCACCACCTCCTCCACTTCCATCCCAACCACAACCTCCACCCCCTCCTCCCCTATCCCTTTCCACTCCAACCGCCCCTCATAATCTCAGCGTTGACCTTGACTACCGCCATGCCACTCGGCAGTCCCCAGAGCTTATGGGTCGGGCCATAGCCAACCCAGCTCAATCAGGCCACCCACTTCATCCTGACAGTGCCCTGACAACACCGCCCACCACTGATGACACATTGACACGAACGACTGTTCAGGTACCTTCGGATGGACGTACGCATGCCCCCTCATTCCCCCCCCCGGGCCCGCCGATGTCCTCACATGACACTTGTAAGTCGCTGCCCCCTTTCCTGACACCTCGAACTCATGACTGCAGGTCAGCCTTGAAGAATTCGAGAAACGGTCCTTTGGGTCCAGATTGTGGGAAGCTTATCACTTTCAAGATGTCCTGGATCTGTCCTTGACCCTCATCGATTTCATTGACATAGTTCGAGTCCACCGAGGGAGGGGGGGAGAGGATCCCCCATGATCTCCATTGATAGGGACAAACCTGTTGAGTCTAAGGTGGATGGGACAAGGGAGGGTAAGGCTGGTAACACCGGAAACTGAGACTCGTCTTCTTCAGTGAGTCTGAAAATGCCTGTGGAGAGACCGAAAGGGTCCCCTGTCGAGGTAGAAACTGGTTTAACCGGAGAAAGGTGTGGTGAACAAGTGGCCTTAATTGAGGGGGGTGATGCAATAGAGGAGGTGGGGAGTCTTCCAGATGTGGGGGTGAAACGAGATGAGTGTGAGGGCGGAGACACCGAAGATGGTCAGGCCTAGGGTTGGTAATGGGGGAGTGAGTGGTGGGTTGAGAGGCAATTTGAAGGCCCTGAGAAACAAGGGTAGGAGAACTGGCGTGTTGAGAAGGGTGGAGGAGGGGTGTGGGTGGGTCAGGGGGAGGCCTAGGTTGGTAAGGGAAAAAAGGGGTTGAGAAATTGTGTGGAAGTAGAGCAGAAAAAGGGTCAATGAAGGTTGGGGGAACAGGTAGAGGGGATGGAGGATAGAAGTTTGGGATAAACACGGGGATGGGAGAAGGATGAACAATCGGGATAGATATGATGATGGGGTCTCCACTTAGAGGGTCAGTAGGGAGACCCACTAGAACAGGTGGGAGCAAGGCACGAAGCAAGAGGTTGGGGTCCATAGGTTTTGTAATTGTCTCCGCTCGAATAGGGTCCTGAACAACCGAGAGAGAGGTCGTGCTTCTGTGATTGGTCTGCTTAGACAGGGTCCACAACAGCTGATGGAAAGTGGTCGTGCTGTTGTGGTTCGTCTTCCCAGTCTGAATCTAAATCGATGAGAAGAGGAGAAAGAGGAGGTTACAGGGTAGGTCCCTGATGAAAGGGGACTAGAAAGGGAACCATAGGTTTGGCCAAGTAAGACAGGGAGCGGTCCCTCATAGCCGCCGCTTCGGGATATTGCGGTGGCAATGATGGCGGGGCCACTGTGGGGTGGCGGTGTACAAGAGGTGACGTCGGGATGGGAGGCTTCAGAGATGGTGAGGGTAGGCCGAGAAAGGGTAGGTGGAGCGTCTCTGGCACGGAGCCGAAGAGGATCTGCTTCCGATGTACTGATGGAAGGTGGTGGCAGGTTTGGGTGAGGGTTGCCTCGGGATGAGGGTCAGGAGGGTTGGAGTAAGAAAGGTACCCGGGAGTTAGCCAATTTGGCTTGTACTATCAACTATTATAGACCTTCTTCCTCCAACCTTTCCCTGTCTATCCTACCTAAAGATCACCCCATAGGTTTTTTAGTCAGGCAATCCCTCAAGAACTCTCCTCTTGCCTTTCTCACCGCAATATTGATACTCTCATGGAATATCAGAGGGCTTGGACTGCCACAAAAAAAGGAAGAAGTCAGGGACCATTGCTTTAGGTTTAAACCAACCATTTTGGCTCTTACAGAGACAAAACTCCCTGAACCTACTTTGATTCATGTGCGACAAATTTGGGGGCACAGACCTTGTCAATGAGTCACATTCCCAGCTGAAGGGGCAACAGGAGGAATATGGGTCATTTGGGACCCCACTGCACAATCTCTATTGTCCCACCAAGCTTCCAAATTCTCTATTACCATCCTACTCTATAGGATCCCTAATGGCCTGCCCTGGAAATTTTCCACGGTCAACCCAATTTGGACATCGACCGACTTCTCCTATGGGAAGAATTCAACCAAGTTGCCAATCTGCCCAATCTCATCTGGTGTATAGGTGGGAATTTCAACGTTACGAGGTGGTCCCATGAGAGAAACACCTCAACTAGAATCACCCCGACAATGTCAGCCTTCTCCAACTTCATCACCTTGAACAACCTGCTGGACCTTCCCTATCAAGGAGCCCAATTTACCTGGTCCAGTCATTCATCCAACCCCACCCTCTCAAAGCTTGACCGATTCCTAATTTCTATACACTGGGATTCTACTTTTCCTAAGACCCACTCTTTGGCTCTCCCTAAACCCACCTCCGACTACTGTCCCATACTTCTAGACTCCAAACAGGCAGAGTCTAGACCTAAACCCTTAGGTTCGAACTAGCTTGGTTAGAAGAACAGTCACTCCTTAACCTACTACCAGAATGGTGGACCTCTCTCTCGAATATGGTTGATGGCTAGGCTGGCTTTAAACTTCAATGCAAGTTGCAATTATTGAAGCGTCACCTTAAATCCTAGAGTAGGGTCTACCGGGGGTTTTAGGAACACAGAAATCAGCTTCCCTGCAAACCATACAAACTCTAGACTCGCTAGAAGAATCCAGACCCCTCTCGGTC